CTCTGGGTTTCATCCATGATAGTGATTTTGACATTCATCAGACCCTAATCTCCCTCTTTTCAATTGTCGACAGTCTCTGAATATTGGACTTGGGGAGGAAACCTCCCTACATTGTAAGGAGCTTCCAGGTCTTCATATTACTGTAGCAGCTTTCAGGTCCTTCTTTGGCCAGCTCACTATACAGATAAGATATCTGAAGATTAGAGGGTTATACATGTTGATGACATGGATCTTGATCTTTCTATTGAGTTGGCTCTTCAGGACCTGCCTAATTCTTTGGTGGTACTTAGATTTGCTGTCTTACTTATTTCCTCCTCATGGTTATCATGTGACTGTAACTGGTCTGTATGCCCACTATGTGACCTCATGAGTCTTAACTACTTTCTCTCTCTTGATACCATCCGGCTGCACTTCTCTAGTCTGAATGACATCTGTTTGTCTGTCTGTCTGTCTATCTAATCCAGCGGTTCTCAACCTATGGGTCGCAACCCCATTTGGGCTCGATCGACCATTTCACGGGGGTCGCCAAGCAAGGCTGTCCCCCATTTTTTTCCCCTTTTCCGGCGGGTGCCTTACCTCCCTTGGGCTGGGCCAGCTGGTGGTCAGCCTGCTCCGTCTCTGCCGCTTGCCAGCTACGCCTCGGCTGGCGCAGGGGGCGGAACCACGCATGCGCGGCGCTCCCGGGCAGGAAAAGTCCTCGACTTACGACCGGTTGGGTAGTCCTCGACTTACGACCGGTTTAGTCCTCGACTTACGACCGGTTTAGTCCTCGACTTACGACCGGTTTAGTCCTCGACTTACGACTGGTTGGGGGTCGCGGCATTAAAAAGGTTGAGAACCACTGATCTAATCTGTCAGATGAAGAAGAAATTAAAGAAGGGTATTTATTTCATTACAAAATTGCTTATTTTACTTTGTGTCCTAGGTGGAAGGTCTTCCAGGAAATGGTGGCTCAAAGGCGAAAAGCTGTTGATTTTGCTCTTAGCCTCCACAATTATTGTGTTGATTGTGAGGAGACCAGGAAATGGATCCTGGAAAAAAACAAAGTCATTGAATCTACACAAGACCTTGGTAAAAACCTGGCAGGCATGATTGCCATGCAGAGGAAATCGTATGGCATTGAACGTGACCTAGCAGCTATTCAAGCCAGGCTTGCCATCCTGCAGAAGGAGGCCCATCGGCTTGCTGAAGAGCAGCCCGATCTAGCTGATGATATCTATAGTCGACTAACAGCTGTCTCTGGAGTCTGGCTGGACCTCCAAAATACTTTACAGTCCCAGGAGGCTTCCCTTGGAGAGGCTAGCAAGTTGCACAAGTTTTTGCAAGACTTAGACGACTTCCAAGCGTGGCTCTTCAAGGCACAAAAAGCTGTTGCTTCAGAAGAGGTGCCCAACTCCTTGGCAGAAGCTGAGCATCTCTTGCAGCATCATGCTGCAATTAAGGAAGAGATTGATCAACACAAGGATGTTTATAGCAACGTTAAGAAGATAGGAGATAGGGTGACTCAGGGTCAGACAGATACAGAGTATCAGCAGCTGGAGCAGCGACTGCAGGGCATGGAGACCGGCTGGAATGCTTTATGTAAAATGTGGGATAGTAGGGAGAAATTCCTCAACCAGTGTCTTGGCTTCCAAGAATTTCTTAAAGATGCAAAACAATCAGAAATCATTCTTACCAATCAGGTAATGTGTTTTAACATTGTGTCACAAGATTGTATCCTGGTCCTTGAGTATTGTGAGTGGCATGTTGTTCAGTAATAAAAAGATCACCTTTGCAGACTGGCTAATATACATGTACAGGTAGTCCTGGACTTATGACCACAATTGAACCCCAAATTTCTGTTGGCGAAGTGAGACATTTATTAAGTGAGTTTTGCCCCATTTTACGACCTTCCTTGCCACAGTTGTTAAGTGAATCACTGCGGTTGTTAAGTTAGCAACACGGTTAAGTAAATCTGGCTTCTCCATTGACTTTGCTTGTCAGAAGGTTGCAAAAAGTGATCACATGACCCTGGGACACTGCAAGCATCATAAATATGAGTCAGTTGCCAAGCATCTGAATTTTGATCACATGACCCTGGGGATGCTGCAATGCTTGTAAGTGTGAAAAACGGTCATAAGCCACTTTTTTCAGTGCCATTGTAACGTTGAATGGTCACTAAATGAAATGTTGTGAGTCGAGGACTGTATGTATATAGCCTATAGCATGGACTTTTATATCCTCTAAGCATATTGAATGGCCCAAGAAAGGTTTGCCTGCTTATTCACTGCCACCTACGTAATTATTATTATTTTTCTGCATATCTTCCAAAACAGAAAAGGACAAAAACTATGTTTAGCAGCTGGCACACTCAACTGTTTAATAAGTCACTTCCTATATCAGGGGTGTCAAACTGGCGGCCTGTGGGCCGGATGCGTCACGTGCAGGCTACACCCACCCTGGCTCCACAAAGGCAAAAAAATGTTGCGATACATCATGCTACGTCATGTGATGCGATCGAGTTTGACATCCGTGGCCTATATGATGTCTTTCCCTATAGCTACCATATATATGATTGCATCATCAAATTAACTTTAAAAGGCACGGACTGAAATCATTTTTAAATGTGGTATAAGGCACACATATGACATCAGTATTTTTTAACTGCCTATATTGTGTTCTTATTTTCATATATATATATTTTGTAACCTCTGGTTTAGGAATATACACTAGCTCACACTGAGCCACCAGACACCTTAGAAGCATCGGAAGCTGTTATACGGAAATTTGAAGATTT